TGATCATTCAGGATTTGCCACCACGGACAGTGAGGATCATCAAATGAAACCAGCAGATGTCATGTTCAAAACAAATAAAAGCCTGTTTTTTATTCTATAATGCGCAGTTGAGCCATTGATAACATTGCAGCAAGATGCTGTTTGTGGTGAGTTTAGTTTGCATTACTTTAGACAGCAACTGGACAAAATAATGGAAGAAGCCTGTTAGAAAATTTAACTACAACACCGCCAGCTCTGGCTCAGAAAGACCTCGAGCTGCAACGTGCTGGAGGCTTGGAAAGTATTCTGGAATAATACCATTACCCTTTCCCCAGGCAATGGTAACAGCAGGATGCTGGTCTGTAAGTACTGTACCCAGTACAGTGGTTGTTAACTGCCTGAAGAATCCCAGTTGTCAGCTAGCTGACTTGCTTTTGGCTTTCTTAAGTGTTCTGCTAGATCCAAGAGGTAGAACTTGTTTTTCCTATCATAATTCCTTTAAATGTTCTATAGTTTCAATGTTATCAAAAAGTACTTGTACTTAAAAAACAGTCTCAATGCCTAACTTTACAGTAGATGCTCCTATTGTAGTAGTGGATGTACATAAAATGCATGTTTGTATTTTACCTGCATAAAATTCCTTCAAGTTGTACACATTGGCTAGTCCTACCTCTCCAATTTGTACACATTGGCTAGTCCTACCTCTCCAATCTGTACACATTGGCTAGTCCTACCTCTCCAATTAATTAATTTTTAAAATATTTATTATTGTGTCCAAAAATTTCAGATCTACTCAGTAATATCCATCACAAACCTGCTACCATTTTCAATCCAGATCCACTTAACTTATTCATAGTCTTTGTATATTCATTTATAGTTATCCTTCTTTGTAATAAAACTGATCTTTTTACTACACCAGCAAGTCAAACAGTAACTTTCTTGTAGCTTTGATTACTTTTAGGATAGGAGTATTGAACTTGCTCAGTCTGACTGTAGTTTCTTTTCCTCCAAAGCTGTATTAGTTCTGCTATGACCCAGAAAGAACCTTTCCAAAAATGTTTCAGTGAGTACATTCTTGTCTTGATATTGGTCTCAGACACACAGGGACTAAACACCACTGTTCAATTTGAAAAAGCAAATGTAGTGACACAGCCTGATACTGCAGAGCTGTTGATGCTGAGCTGGGAATTCTCCTCCCGCTGAGGCTGGGGTTCATGTTACCATGATTATTTAGCAGCTGTTGGGAATGGCACTGGTGAATGGAGCCCCTTGTCTGGCCAGTGGAGCCAATGACAAGTGTCTGGGTTTCACCGACGACGGGAAGTGGCACAGCAGCCAGTAGCTAAGTTTAGTGCAGTGGATGTTTCTCTGACTTCATATTTGCACAATCACACTGCCCCCCCGAAGTTAATTAGCCCATAGTGCCGAGAAGGAGCAAGACAACTAGAACTCCCTCAGCCAGGGCTCAGCTGAATGTCAGACTCGGATCTCCTGACAAGCATCCATAGTTAAGAGTTTACCCTGGTTCTGAAGTTAAAAAGACAGTATGCAATTTTTGGGCAAGTACTTGTGCTAAAGCTCATCTTTTCTTGGAGAAAACGAAACACTGGTTTTATTTTCTAAGACAAACATATTTCAAAGAAGGCAAGATCACAAGAGTATTTTAGTCAAACGAAGTAAATATTTTGAAAAGGAAAACCCCTTTGTTCAAGAGAAGAAAATGGCTGTGGACAATGGCTTGAACAACATATTGGCTGCTGACAAATGAGATTGACAGTTTTGTGATGTATTTTTAGCTAAAAATTTTTTTTAAACCAGAAGTACTGTGTAGCTTTGGCAGTTGCTGCATGTTCAGTGTGGGTGGATGGAACTGAGAAGTCGCATCTGTGCTAACAAGCATTTTGGGATTCCATTAAAAAATTAAACTCATGTATTGGAAACTGAAGCTGTATCAGCTCACCTGGGGAGCTCTGCCTTCCGAATATCCTCCAAAAGGTAAGCAGTGCTGCCTTGCCTGTCCAGGGCTTTGCAAAAATAATTACTTGGACCTCAAGATGTGATATCAACTCAAATTTGAGTTGTTAGATTGACATTTTCTTTCACTCCTGACGTTATGAGTTAGTGGGTTAGTCTCCATCCTCTCCTTCCAAGTTTTCCCTCTAACTAGAAAGGCTAAAAATAGATTTCAAAAGGCAGGTGAAAAACTAATGTGGTCATTGTTCAGGTGCTGAGTCTAAGGAGAATAGCTAAGACTGTAAGACTTCTAGATGTAATTATGTCACTTGGAAAGCAGTTGGGACATTGATGCCATGCTAACTCAAAATCTGATCAGTTAGTGCTTTACATCTGCAAAATAGACCTCTCACCAGCTAGACTTCATTAATGTAGGTATTTCTGTCTTGCTTAGGGGTCATTTGAGCCATGATTTTTCAAGTAGTCCTTTTGCAGAAGAGCTCCTACTTCAAATGTTTGCTTGCTGTGAGTAAATAGCTATTAATTTGATTTGCTTAGAAGTAGATAATATCTTGACTTTGATGTGGCCAGTAGTAACGACTCCTCAGGAATTCTGTTGTTGGAGTGAAGTGTAATCCACATCAGGCAGCTTCTCTCCAAAGTACTGATATAAAAAAGTGCTAAGTGACTTGCTGTAAGATGTCAGAATGTTTGGTCATCCCGCCTTTCCTGGAGAGGGACTGGGTGACCTAATCCTCCTTACCCTTCAGACTGGAGAGTTTTTACTGGAATTTACGGTGACAGAGGGCAATGTCAAATAGACTTTTGATCTACATACATGCAGTTCCCCTGAATCTTTGTAATTCAGGTGTCCCTTCATTGCACTCCTTTCCCTAAAACTGTCATTGTGGGGGTAGTTACTGTCCACTATAGGCAGGATTCTGAGGAACGAAGATCTGAACTTCATCATTGCAGTACTCAATGGAAAGAGGTATGTAATACAGAGCATCTGAAGTTGGTGGTCTATCTGCTTGTTTCTAGAGAGCGCTTGCAAAGCTGACTAGCTTTATTGGAGCTGAACAAATCCTCAGAAATTAAGGTAACAAACACTTTGCTGCAGTATTCAGGATTTTGCAAAGATGTTACATTTGTAGCTTTTTGTTCTAAAATGTTTTGTGGTTATAATTTTAATGGCATTAAGATACATCACTTCAGGAAGGTGTTTTTCTTATTATCTGTTGTGCTGTTGGGTTTTGATTCCTGACCCAAAGGCACATTCAGAGAAGTTGGATTGGTGCTTTGGGTGAATTCTGGTGCTTCTGGCCATCCCCAGTACCTGTGACAGGAAACAGCCATTGCATCTTTTAGGTCCAGCTCTCCTGTGCTCACATGAGTTCCTCACCTTAAAGTGTTTTTTAATTGCAGCTAAAAACCTGCATAACTTGGCTAGCTGCATTTATCCCAGAGTAAGTTTACTGCTGGAGTTCTGCAAAGACAGTAAATCTTAGAGGTCACGAGAGCCAGTCTATTGAGTTAGCAGCATTTGTACTGAAGATGATCAGTATTTCATCTACTTTGAAATTCTCTCTTAAAACAGCAGTGGTTTAGTAGAAGGTTTGTTCACTTACAGCCTGTACAGTTGTTGCTCTATGAAGAGATTTATGCACCTTGCATTCAACAAGGAATGAAATGAAGATTTTCAGATGAATAATTCAGAGCTTAAACTTTATTTATTTAATACTGATTCTGCACCAAAAAAAGATACTTCACCAGAAATTAGTTGAGGAAAAAATGGGAAGTACTACATTAGGTTGATGTTGGAGGAAATGGTATATATACATGTCACTGATATCTGAGCAAAGAATTGGGCTGAGAGATGCCTCTATTTGGTAGCATTAACAACAAAGCAAGAGGATAACTGAAACCAGTGAAACAAAATAAGTCTGCTCTGAAGAGGTGAGGTGTATGGAGAGCTTTTAAGTTTCTCCATATATTTCTCTCTTTGATACCAAAGATTATTGTAATTAACATTTTCTATGTCAGATATATTTTAATAATTGAGGTAAGATGGTGCTGCCAGCTTGGCTTGAAACATTTCTTTTTATATGATGCGAGCTGTTCATGATGCAATTTTGTCACTGACTCTAAAGTCTCCTTCTATTCTGTCTCTCCCAGCCTGGTGCCATAAATAGAAACCTATTCCTTGCCCATCCCAAGTTCTTGGCTTGGAGCCATATTTCTTGACTTTAGTCAGTGGGCTGTTTACAGTACTTAAACCTTGCACCACAATGTGGGAGGCCTAAAGACTAGATGGATCTGTGCTTAGTTCAAGCAAACCACCTTATTAAGAGTCTGCTTGCTTGCTGGAGAGAAACACCTAGGAATGGCATTTAGTTAGGCTGCCTGCATTTTACCAAAGCCATATGTGAGCTGTCTAACCTCTTTAAACTGGTGTTTTTCATGGCCACATGTATGTTAGCAGAAAGAGTAGGTGGTCCGCTTAGGTAAGGGATGAAGTCTGTTACAGGGTAAGGAAAGTTCATAGGTCTGCTTCTATGATACCACATTATTAGACAGCAGGAACTTGGCCTGTTTAGCATCGGTTTGCTTTTTTAGTTATGTACTTTGCCATGAGTATTTTTGGTTAGTAGGAAGTGCTGAGACTTGGCTTCAGAAACAAAGCCACTGTAGAACTTGATACTATTCCAGTCATGTCAGCAAAATAAGGAACCTGCTTGCTGCTGTGTTACCAATTTTGTTTCCTCTTATTCATTAAGGCAGGAATCCTCCCACTAACAAGTTGGTTAAAGATCTTGAAGTCTAGTGATACAAAGTGATGTACGTTTTGAAGATGCAGTGGAAAGTAGAAGTTACACTAATGGTTGTTAATTACTGGATGGCCTGTTTTCTATGCTTCAAGTTGACCAAAGTGTGTTCTTTGATAGGTTTAAATGCAAGTATATAAAATGAGTCTGCATCTAAAATAGTGCTTTGATATTTATATTGGCATTTAGTTTGAGAACTCAAAGTGAAAAAAGTGAAAGAAGTGGCATATGCAGAGATCTTGGTGGCCTTGTATGCATGTGTCCCTTTGTGAAGGGAGACATGTGAGAAGCCGGAAGATAGAACACCATATGTTGCCTATATAATGTACAAACACATATACATACAGCCTATGGTTTTTGCAGCAAAATGGAAGACAACAGATTGAGACTGTATGCAATAGCTAGTATTTACCCTATAACCCTTTCTTTGTCTCTTCCTTCCATTGGCAAACCAGTCACTTTGGCCTGCTGCCAATACCAAGTGCATTTCGGGGCTGTATTTCCATTTACATGTTTTAGGGACACTGGCAGTTGGTTCAGAAATTCAAAATACAGCAAGTCTTTTTAGGAGCTCCCTGAGCTATACATCTCAAAGTAGCTTAGTCAGCAAGATTTCCTTTTATTCAACTTTTTCCCATTGCTGGAAGAACTAGAGAAATGCTTCTAAATGGATGACTTAAGTTGTACAGGAAAGGTAACCACTCTCAGGAAACAGTTTTGAAGACCATCACAGGGAATAGTCTAAAAAGCTGGGAAGAGCTGCTGTGTCTGAAAGGTGGATTCTTTCACCAAGGAAGCTGAATATACCAGAATTAAGATTTTATATTGTGTGCTTACTGTGAAGAGAATAGAACAGGATGCAGATGTGGTGGATGGAGATGGCGAACTGATGGACTACAGGTTAACTATCTAGGAAAATCAGTTGTAAAAGAAATAATGCTCATCTAGAAGGGAGAAAGATGCCCCAGTTTATTCTGCTTGGGTTTATTTGGCAGGACCTGATCAACTGCTTCACACTGTAGCGACATTCTGTGTCCTTCCCACTGAGAAACACCTTCAGGAGGGTAGCTGGAAGGGTGCAGGCACAGAATTGCCCTGTAACAGGAAGCTTACAGCCCAAGTGTTACTTATCCATAATGCCACTGCTGGCCACTGCTTGATTTCCCATCAGGAGCTCCTTAACAGATCAGCCAGCCAATAAGCTTTGGCTAAGAATACTCTTCTGACAAAGGCTAAAACTGGTAGAGTTAGTGGATACCTTTGCAAGTTACATTATTAATCCAACCTATCTTTCTACTAGTTATTCTGTGTTCCAAATGCCAATTACTCATCTGTTGTATTTTAACTAACAAGTAAATTTGTTAATTTTAACCAAGGTAATTAACTGTAACAGCCAAGAGTAATTTAGCCGCAAATCCGTACATAGCTTGCCATTTTCTGGTACCATTTCGGAAGTGTGTTACAAAACTCATGCACATGTTTCTGAGGCTGTGCTGTCTTTCTCTACAAATCCTGCTTATTCTTTGTGTATTAATGGATACACTAAGGTTGGTACAAATAACAGTGTAATGAAGAGTAATTTGAGCAAATAAGAAGGGAGAAAACAGTAAAACACAGAGGCAGAAACACAGAAAAGTGATAAAGCCTAGGAGCTCTTAAGTAAAGGCATTACAACCTCTGGCTACTAGGTAGCATGCTGCAGGATTTACTGAGTGTGATTTTGGATAAGGAAGAAAAAAGGTCACTCAGTTGTCAGAACTTCACAAAGACAACACTATGCAGGTAGTCAGCCTAAGTTATTTTCTTTTTCTAGTTACTTTTTCCACATAACATTAGAGGTTGGTGGTACAGGACATAACTTATGTCACAGGCCATACAGGTGAAAGCAGATCCCCATCACCACAGGATACCCATGGTTTGATTATAGTGTTTTTCCACAGCCTTACAAAATACAAGTATTTGGAATAAGTCAGGTTGCTCATTTCTTACCTTCAGCCTAATGAGTCCTCCTCACACGGTGCAGCTGCCTTTCTCACAGAGCAGTGGAGTTAATGGATTGTAGAAATGCTGTTTGGTTTTGGTCTTCCCCCTTGGTAAGCTTTGACAACTCCTCTCTCCTCCCCACAACAACCCAACCATTAACTTCCCTCTCCCTGCTCCCTTTATACCACTCTGCAGGCCTACCACCATCCCAGGTGTGAGAGTGCCATAGTGATTTCTTGTTCTTTAACCCTTCCTTGTCCACATGTTAGGAGGAGCCTGTCCTGGTACAAACCATACAGTACAGCCTTTCAAAAGCACTACAGCTTTTGAAGAATTCATCCAACACATCTTACGGTTTTCGAGAAGTAAATTTGATGGTGCCCTTTTGAAGAGTTCCTGACTCTTAGTAGTCATCAAATATGCAGCTCCCATTGGGTGTACTGTACTGCCCTTGATTTCTCTTTCTTTCTGAAATCCTGAAATGTTCAAGAGTGTTTACTTGCTCAGTGCTTGTACATCTCTTAGACATATATATTTTCATTAACGCCATTTCCTGTTGATTCATCTAAGCAATGCTCCAGCAACGGTATGTGGAGTGGAAAAATGAATCAATCTGGGCAGTCTCCTTAATGGGTGATTTGTTTTGTAATTTGTACAAAGGAATTTCTCCAAGGAAACTGTTTGCTTTCTTCCCAAACACTTGGTTGCCTAACTCTGATCGGAACAAAACTCTGTCTTTATAGCTCATCTCAAAATTGTTTCAACTTGCAGTCCAGTCCCCACATCCTCTTGTTTGTTCAGCATTCCCTGGGAAGCTCCACCCTCACTTCCAGCTAATAACCACGTTAGCCCACAGCCTGATTTTTCCCAGTTTCTCCTTTGCCTGCTCTTCAGCCCTTGCTTTCTCTTTGGCCACCAGCCTTGCAAGCAGGGATCGACTGCACGTGGTGGCATTTGTGCTGGCAGTGGCAGTCCAGGACTTCTTGTGTCAAGCAGCCTCATCTGCTTGCTGTGAAGCACAGCATGATTGTGGGGACAGTCCTTTTCCAGTCTAGCAGCTATGGCAAAGAAGGCAAGCTGCTCTGCTGCCTTGGCAAGGAAGCCTCTGAGCCTGGCGTGAATTTCACAGGTATGATGTTCAGGAATGTAATGCTGTGCTGTCCCTTTCCTGTATTTCTCCAAGTGTTTCAAGGAGGATATGGGACTTCTCAAATCTACCTTTGTCTTGTAGTATGAGACCAGCCACAGGCAGGACTGAGATTGCCTGGTTTTATCCTGGTTTGGGGATTATTGAAATGCTTCATTTTTATGAGCAGTTACATGGTATTTCAGAAATAGAGACCACTTCAGCCATAATATGAGTCTAGAATTAAAGGTTTAGCATACACTGCATCCTGCTCCTGGGCTGAACAGAATAGTAATTGCAGTGTTGGCAGGTTAGGCGACAAAACACCCCTTACATATTGGCTGAGTAGGAAAAGCATTCGTATCCAGAAGGAAGCAAATTGTATTGTGGGAACAAAGAAAAGGAAGGAGATGGATGAAGCATAACCTCCTTGCATGGCCATGTATTACTCGTGCAGTAAATGATGATGTAAGTTTTCCACTGCATAGGAAATGAAAGTGGTAGTATATGATTTATGGTTAGCCTTTAAAAGGAGCTGATGTAAAACAGAACTTCCCAGCTCATTTCTGTACTCTTGGTGTGGGTAGAGCTTGCAGACTGTTCATCTGGAAGAGAATCACTTGTGATAGGATTTTGTGATCTGGTTTCCTTAATGAGGTTTATGTGACCATCATGTTTCATTGACTTTCCATAACCTGACATACTGAATGGTATAGACCCACACTGTATAGAGCAGCATAGGTTATTGTGTACTAATAGCCTACAATAGGCACAGTAAAGTCCTAAAGACCTGGTAAAGTCCCGTTTAGTAGCTATTGGGTAACCTTTACGATTACTTAAGGATCCAAGTCACTCTAAGATGAAAGTGAAGGAAGTTGGTGAGACATGCATTGAACTCTTAAAAGCATTTGCTTTTTAGGTAATGTGATTTTTAGGTAAGTGCTGTAGCTAAGTGATTGAAGCTCTTCATCAAACATTAACTTCTGCTGTCTTTTTCTGTATGTAAAGTGGGTGTTAAAAACGTGTGCCAGCCTCCCAGGCATTCCTGAGGAAGTAGTAGTAGTCCCACACCTGCTTTGAATTTTTCCTGGCAATCCAGCGCAGCACCTCAAATGGTTTTATGCGGGCAGAGCTGCTCAGTGCTGAGCAGCAGGTGGCATTCTGCTGGTTTTTGCCTTGGCTGGAGTGCCTGCTGGGCTGGCTCAGCATGGGCATGCTTAGGTGGTCATGGGATTCACTGCAGCAGCTCTGAAGCTAAGTTGATACTGGGCCTCTTCAGGCTTACCTGTTGAGTGCATCATTACATGCTCAACTCTGTGCTGTCTCTTAAGTAGGGGTTGGATGCTTAGTTCATGAACTTTTCTGGCTTGAGAAAGATACTTAACATATGTTTTGATTTAGAATATATACATATATTTCTATTTAAAACCTTTTGCATTTCAGCAGATACGTAATTGAAAGTAAGAAGTTATTTAAACATTATTAAGGTATTTTGGAGCTGAAAGGTTGGATATTTTTTGGAAACGTTGCCTACTTTTGTGTTTTCTCCTTGGCAGAGATGCAAAAGTCAGATTTCCTGTATAGCACATTTGCTGAGTGACTTCACTTAAGGCACTGAAACACTCTTTAACACAAGTCACTGTACGAGTATAAAGAATGCATTATTTAATTAAATTTGTATTTTTGCTCCATAAAGAGAGCTGTATTTAGGAACTAGTGGTCTTTCCTGGTGCTTAACAACTGGACATGTATATGCACATATTCAGTCCTAAAAAATTCCAGAGGGATGTTGGCAGCTATACTGTAATGTAGGCATTGGATTTCCTCTTTCCTCCATGGTAAAGCCAGTCTGAATGGTTTAGTATATTGTAAAATTAATTGCAGTTGATAGTTAGGAATAGGAAGTGTATGTCAACATTGCATCTGCAAACAGCAAAATCAAAGAAGTGACATTTTGGTAGTTTAGTCACTTCTGTTCTTGCTAGGAAAACCCTGATAAGCAGTCTACTTTTGCAGGTTTCAGAAGGTAGGTTCTTAAGTAATTGCAAGTTGAGCAGGTTATACGAGCAGTTTAACCCTGAATAATTACCAGAAATACTGTCAAAAGCCTTAGCTTTTGACACACACTTAGCTATGTGTTTAAAAACAAACCTCAACCGTTTACTTTCTCATGTACCTACAATATGAAAACCCCCTACGTCCTCATTTTCCAGGCCTGAGCTCTGTCCTGTGACACAGATTTGGCATATGTTTACCTATTACTTGGCACAGGCCTCTTCCTGTTTTGTGTCTCGCTGACTTCCCAGTTTTCCCGTCCTGTATTACATTTGAGTTCTTTGTTCTCTTTTAAAGTGCATTATAGACTCACTCTTGCTCATGAATGTAAATCTCATGGGAGTGCAGGGAAGGGATAGTCACATGCACGCATTCTTTGGCAGTGGTGTGCTTAAAAACGTCCTAAGCCTTACTTCTCAGCCCCTCAGAAATGGGTCATGGCAATGCTTGTAAAGCAAAGAAAGCCTCAGGTTTTTTAAAGAGGACTTTTCATGTCTGGTGCTTTTAACGAAATCTCTTTACCGTGTACATTTCCAGAATTGGGTTCAACAAGAGAATTTGGAACTACATATTGGGACAGGAATTTGGTGTCAGTTCTGCCATCAGAGAAAATATTTGTATCTTTACATCATCTTATTTTTTTGCCCCCTAGAGCAGCCCATATGCATTGAACCTCACCATTGCTCTTTTCTCATATCTTAATATTGAAATTTATTTGGCTGTGTGTTCCCAGAAACCCGCTCTCTGGGTTCAAAAGCCAATGATGGTCTTGGCATAGTGCTTGCATGAAGAGTTCAGACAGTTTTGCTTTTTACTACTGTTCTTTCCAAAACCTGTGCATTTATTGTTTTCATCATCACAGGAACTGTGGGGACTTTTTTCTTTTGTCTATTAAACAAGTCTTGTACCTCCCCCCACTCTCTTGAATTATCAAGTCTGTATCAGTTGTCTGTTGAGTCAGCAAAACAGAGCTGCCTGGGAATTCAGAAACACTACTGCTGCATATCTGGCATCACTTTTACTATTTTCTGGCCTTGTCAGTTTTCCACCTCTTATTTACAGTCTTGAAATGTATTGCAAATCACCAACCTTTTTGTTAATACTGCATCAGTTACTGTCCTAACCTGTAGATCTCATTTATGTCATAATTCAGTCTGTCTTACCTGTATTTATGATGTTGGTTTGGGATTGAGGCTATTTCAGCCACAGAAACAATAAAAACATAAACCACAATATTTCAGCATCAGAAGGTTTCTTTCAGTACTTCACATAATCAAAAAAAAAAAACCACAACTTTTTATTTCTCACCCATTTTTTATCTATAAATGTTTAAATCCTTTCAAATAGAAGTGTATATAAATGGAATACATATAATACAATAAATACTAAATAGAAATTTTATATACACAGCTTGCTACTTGGTATCTAGGTAATTAACCACCTTCTCCAGCCCGTATTAGAAGTAACCTATGGAATGAAGAGTCAGCAAAGTGGGGATTGAAAACCACTGATCCAAAACCATGCATGTGGTTTTCCCTTTCCATAAAGAGCATGTTGTGCAGTAGGAGCTTCGCTTTCCTCTACACTGGGGTTTGTTCTATTTACAATTGTAGACAAAGTAATTTCCTCTTCCGCTCCTTCTTCAGAGGCCCTGCACCGCCCATATGGTTGCGATGTTGAACCCCAGGCACTGAATGAAGCCATCAGATGGAGCTCCAAGGAGAACCTGCTTGGAGCCACTGAGAGCGATCCCAATCTCTTTGTTGCACTTTACGATTTTGTAGCAAGCGGTGACAACACCCTCAGCATCACCAAAGGTAAGGCTGTGAATCACCTAGCAGCTGCTAGGTTGAAAACTTAGCAACAGAAAGCAGAATCCTGCTCCAGAGAGGAATAGGAATGAGTATAATTACAGATTTTTCTTTAAACTGGTGAGTGTAAGTAGATGGTCTCTCTCTCACTTGTGTTGGAGAGACACCTGCTGGACAGTTCTCCTAGTGCAGATACAGGTTTGTGTAACACTGCAGAACAGTCTTAATCCAGCTGCAGTTGTCCCTGTTCGTCTCCCCAGATCACTGACCCTTCGAGACACTTGGTTTAGGGAGGGGCAGAGGAAAACCATTACATTCTTAATGGTAACAGAATTCAGCACTTTGAACTGGGGCAAAATCAATAATTAAGAATTGCACAGAGATTTTCTGTTTCTGCTCAGTACAAATATGAGAATATGACCTGCTGCAGAACAGTTTTAAATCCCATGCCATTTAAGGCTTCAAGAAGGAGACATACCTCTTCCCTCCAAGAAAAATAGTCTTTCTAGTCTAAAAAACTGGACTACAGGGAGCTCTCGTTCATCACTCACACTGCAGTAAATTAGGGAACGGTATCCTGGGTGTTCTGCTTGAAACTTTACTTCATAAATACTTTATATACAGCAGTTTATTTGTAAGATAGATGCTGTGGTTTTTTTATTGCTAACTACAAATCCAGGCTTAGTCAGCTGATGGTGAGTTTCTCCCTTAATGAGACCCAATAGATTACACTGTGCTTATTTTCCATTTTTCTTTCTGGTCATAGGTGAGAAATTGCGAGTCCTGGGTTACAACCAGAATGGTGAATGGAGTGAGGTACGTTCGAAGAATGGGCAGGGCTGGGTACCAAGCAACTACATCACACCAGTGAACAGCCTGGAAAAGCATTCATGGTACCATGGGCCAGTGTCACGCAGTGCAGCGGAGTATCTGTTGAGCAGTCTCATCAATGGCAGCTTCCTGGTTCGTGAAAGCGAGAGCAGCCCAGGGCAGCTGTCCATCTCGCTCAGGTACGAAGGACGTGTTTACCACTACAGGATCAATACCACCTCAGATGGAAAGGTAAGGATCTCTGGACAATGCTGTGGGGAGAGAAAATAAAAATATAATTAATAGGTGGTGCAGAATCTCAAATTGAAGACTGTTATGGGAGGGCTGTGTGTGGGATAAAACGGTTCCGCTGCTTGGTACACATGTTCTTTTGGTATACGTGTTCTTTAGTAACTCACCAAACACCACTTCAGAACAAGTACAGACAGTACTTCTCCTGACTGAAGGTAGCTAGAGAGCAGACCAGCTGTGGTTTGATATTGTGGTATCTTTCCATTGGTTCACTTAGAACAAGAAGAGCTTTGGTAACTCAGCATTTTTAACCTTGATCAAATAGCAGTATGTTATTTTGGAAGACACAGAAACAGGCTTTATGCTTCACTACAGGAATTCCACTTTCTAGTCCTATAAAGCACAAGGCACGAGACATCTCTGCTCTCAGGTGATGGCTTACCTGCCTTCTGTAGGTAAAAACCTCACAGATTAATAATTCATTTGCCCAACAAAATGAGAACAAATACTTTAAAATCTGGGTCTCTGAGTTTTATTTTTATTTTAAACATGTTAGAATTTTTTTTGCTATACTGGTTTTCCAGTGTTACTGAGAACTTTCATTTAAATAGATTCCTGGTTCTTAACAGGTATATGTGACAGCAGAGAGCCGTTTCAGCACTCTAGCAGAGCTGGTGCACCATCACTCAACAGTAGCAGATGGACTGGTGACAACTTTGCATTACCCGGCACCCAAGTGCAATAAGCCCACTGTCTATGGAGTGTCCCCCATCCATGACAAGTGGGAGATGGAGCGAACCGATATCACCATGAAGCACAAACTTGGGGGAGGGCAGTATGGTGAGGTGTACGTGGGTGTCTGGAAGAAATACAATCTCACAGTTGCTGTGAAAACATTAAAGGTGAGATTTCAGATTGTAATGTTCTGTTCATTTATGATAAGGGTAAGGAAATCGTAATGTTCTCAGATGTTACCACTTAATTGTATGAATATCAGAAAATGGAGTGTGCTGATCTGCAGAATACCAATGCTTGAGAGTAGCTTTGCAGAGCAAGGTTAGCTCATCAAACTTGCACCAGTGCATGTGTCTTAGAAACAATTTTGAATTTTGGCCCAGCAAGCATGTGCAGGAACTGCACGTCTGTACAGCTGGTTTCCATGTCCACTTCCCTTGCCTCAGAACAGCTGTGGAAGCTTTAAGGAATCAAAAGTGTTGGAAATACGTTCTACAACTTTTCCTCTACTCCTGGAAAAATTAGTCTTCTTCATTTATGTATCTTGTCAAACTCTTCTGTTTGTTTCAATATGAGCAGCTACAGTTCTGTGTGCTCCCTAAGTAAAGGAGCTTTCAAGCTTAATTTTTGTAGCTAGGCAGGGGAACTAAGTGATCCTGAGAGTCTTTCTCTTACCAGCCATAACTGGTTTGGTAGCCACAATAGCTACCAAACAAGAAAGCCTAGCACTTTCTGGGTATTGCAGATCTATCACTTGACCATGCTGCAGGACAGACCAGGCAGCTTTTCAGGGCTATTACATTTTATCTTTTTTTTTCTTTTCAGTTAAAAGCCAAAGCAGCAGAATGGAGACAGGGATGCCATCACTTTTATTCAGCTAGGATACATGGTATTAAGCAGACCTTGTTCACGGAGATGTTTTTTTCCTTCTTTTGCCTCTCTGTTCATGTAGGAAGATACCATGGAAGTGGAAGAGTTCTTGAAAGAAGCTGCTGTGATGAAGGAGATCAAGCACCCAAATCTAGTGCAGTTGTTAGGTTAGTGAAAGACCTTGTTCTTTCTGTTCTTACTTGAGTTTCCACCAGAATGAAATCTGTCTTGTTTAAAAGCAGGGGCAGATTTTCTGTAATTATATAACTTTAAATCAGGTCATGTTATGGGTGGTGTTCTGACAGCTTACTCCTTTAGGTAGTAGTGAAGCTGAGAGACACCAATATTAAATAAAACATCAAATATAGTCGCTTACATTAGTAGACATAAAGGTTTGCAATATCAGCCTCCTGTTAGTTTGTATTCTTGGCCTTAGACATGTTCCAGGGGTTAAATCAGCTTTACAGAATTATTTTATGATTTACTTTTCTGATAGAACAGAACAAAACTATAAGAAAATTAAAAGCGAAAGAAACGGTTTTACTGGAAGCACAACACATACTGTTCATGCTTTTCAAATCGGAGACATTTCTAGAAAAAGCTGCACTAAATAGAGCAAACTTGTCCATAGTTAAGCAGAAAACAACCAGATTGCTGCTGCTGTAAGGGTCCCTGTGTATCACCAAATAAGTACATGAGATCAGGGCACTGGAGATGCAATGCAAGTAAGATCAAACAGTACATGACTAGAAGAAATCTGCAGGCTTTACAGCTTGGCTTGGCCCTGTTTATTTCAGTGGCAGATGCATGATATGATGATCACTATTAAATAGTCTGCATAGATGTTAATTCTACATGTACAAAGATTTTTAAGGAGACACTCTAAACTTTTTTCTTAGAGTTTAGTTGCCTCTGGACTTTCACTGCTTTCAGGAGCAAAGCTGTCAAGCCTAGCCTAGGATGAAAGGAGAAATGTGAAGAATGTTAAGGCTTTTAATAATGGCAGCTATTCTGTACCCATTTAAAAAATGGGCACAGATGAGGTTTCTGCCCAGCCCTGTCTGGTTCCAGGAGTGGAGACAGAAAAACTTCTCAGCAGAGATGCGTTTTTCCTCTTTCTGATGCACAGCATAGTTGTCTTTCACTCCTGTATGTGTGTAATGGTAGGAAGAGGCACACAGCAGTGCTGCAGTGGGAGTTCACAGAGATTTCATATCAGTATCCTGTTGCCCTCCTCCTCCATTAATACATACTTCATACATAATTGCAATAACTGCAGGAAGTAGTCATCCAAAGAATGTGTGAGAATGCTGCTTTAGAAGCAGGTCCCACCTTGCTGATCACTTACCCAGTTAGCACACATAGGACTGCTTCACATTACCCTGTAGTGACACTTCAGTCTCAGAATCTTGCCAGTTGATGGGTATTTACTTCCAGTTGGCCACGCTTTAGCTTCGTGGAGGGAGAGAGGGGAAGGAAAGCAAATCACACGTTTAAAATAATTCGTGTTTCGTTCATTCAGGAACCTTCCAGAAACAGAACTACTCCTTCATGTATATTGTATAGGAATAGTAGTGCTTTGATAGACATGTTTCTCTATGTCTGTAAAGTGGAGAGACATATAAATAGGCAGAAGCACTAAATTTTAAGTCGGACTGCATTAATTTGGGTCTTGCAGACGGAAATCTTCACTTTTCAGAGAAACATCAGCACAAAATGTGACAATGAATATTAAATCAGGAACAGTGGTAAGCTAGGGAAGAAAGGGAAGCTTTACTCACATGCTCTTTCCTCCTCACTGCTAGGTGTATGTACCCTGGAGCCACCCTTTTACATTGTGACAGAATACATGCCATATGGGAACCTGCTAGACTACTTACGGGAGTGCAACCGGGAGGAAGTGAGTGCTGTCGTGCTACTCTACATGGCTACTCAGATCTCTTCTGCTATGGAGTACCTGGAGAAGAAGAATTTCATTCACAGGTGGGTAAACTCACATTGAGCTGGTGGAGTTTCAGATTGCAGTGATGAACAGGCCACCAACATGGTGGCCCAGGGATTTGTCTTTTGGGGAAAGATTATTCCAAAGTTAGGTTTCACACTGGCTTACCTATTGGCTGTTTTGGTTTCAATACAGTCTTTCAGTACTTTCTCCCCATGACTTTCATAGCAGACTTAAAATCTTGTGCCTGACAGCTATGAAAGTTGGTGTTGTCCTATTCTGATGAACCCCCTATATGCAAGACATTGTCAACCCCAAGTCTTGTTTTAATCCAGACAGATAAAGCCATGCCGTAAAGTTGTTACTGGTGTGGGCTGAGCTGCTGATCTCATCCTGTTCTCAGGAAACATAAACTTCTCATTACTGGAAATTTATTAGAATTTAAAGAATGAGTCCCAGTCCTGACTTACTGCTTCTAAGAAAAAGTCCACTCAGTTTCTGACACTGTTGAGAGCAAGATTCACATTGCCTTTACCTGCTATATAAAGAGAGTGCTTCATAATTCAGAAGAGAGGGACAGGCTATGCAGACACAAAACTGTATTCAAAAGCCCTGCTCTTGCTTCAGTAGAGGACTATGCTTTTTCCCTTTGTACAGGGATCTGGCAGCACGGAATTGTTTAGTTGGAGAAAATCACGTTGTGAAGGTGGCTGACTTTGGCTTAAGTCGACTTATGACTGGAGATACCTACACAGCTCACGCTGGAGCCAAGTTCCCAATCAAATGGACGGCTCCTGAGAGCCTGGCCTATAACACCTTTTCAATCAAGTCAGATGTGTGGGGTAAGAAAACTCCAGTCTTCTTTTCTCTTTCATTTTGTTTCTGTTTACCAGCCTAGACAGTAACTTGCTTTCTGGCCTGGACAGAAGTTTGGGGAGGAGACAGTCACACACCAGCCCACAATAACATTTTTAGCATATAATGTTTTCACCTAGACTGGCCTGAAATAATGCGCAAGAATAATGTTGCCTCAAGCTGCAGTAAAGGCCACAATGTAATGAGCAGCACAAGAGAAGGACAGACTTATGACCAGGAATTCTGTTTTCTTCCTTTTGCAGCTTTTGGGGTGCTGTTATGGGAGATTGCTACCTATGGGATGTCACCATACCCAGGCATTGACCTCTCTCAGGTGTATGATCTGCTGGAAAAGGGCTATCGGATGGAACAACCAGAGGGGTGTCCTCCAAAGGTCTATGAACTGATGAGGGCATGTGAGTAGCTTCTTCCAGTTTGGAGGAGAAAACCTGGGAGAGGTGGGAGAAATCTGTAGGTAACTCTGAAGTCCTTTCTTCTTTTGTGCCATTTTGTTAGCTAACGCGGAAAAGGGCCCGTCACCTGAGAGATACCTGGTTACTGATACAAAATGAGTGTGGTCTCTAGGGAACAAGAATTCACTCCCAAAAACTGTCATTTCTGAGTACAGCTAAATACCATTTTGTGGCACATTGTACTGGTATTTTATCAGTAGGACTTTTACTATGGAATCACTAAATTGGAAGGAAATTTAGTTCTCTGCAAACACAGCACCTGTGCAGGAGACACGTAGTTGACAGAGTTGCACAAAACACATCCTCCAAGCACACCATGAAGAGTTCCCTAATGCACCATAAGAGATGGAAAAGGTACTAACTAATACAAGATGGAAAAAATACAGTTTGGTACAGAAAGAGAGCAACAGAGTTTAACAGCATTGCCAGTCTCCTTCAGTCCTGCAAGAGCGGGACTCCTTGAGTCCCACAGGAGACTATATTGGGCAAAAGGCTGAAGAGCTTAGGGAGCAAACCAGGCCATGCTGTTGAATCAGGTAAGCAGCTCTGAACAGATACACCCTGTCAGTGTGACCTGGGAAAAGACTCCTTGGTGCTAACTCAGGCAACCTCTGTGGCCTTCAGTGTACAGGACAGACAAAACAGGGTAGAAGAGGCCATTCTACAGCCTGTCTTCAGGGATGCCTGATCCCCCCCCAGCGTGTCAGAGAAAGTCAGGGTGAACAAGGAAGTTGGGTAATGATGAAGGATATTGCTTTAAAAAACTTTCAGGAAGCTGACAAAACCCCAAAAGCAGGTAATTCTTATGATACCAATGCAATGCACAATGAGCGGAATGACAGTAACTTCCCAGACCCTATAGTGGTATGAACAGATAGTCAGCTGCTTCCAGAATATATTCCCCTTGTGCAGATTTCTAACTACAGAAATTACACTTTTCATCATGATACCCTTGTATAATTTTTCAGGATCCATCTCAAATCAATGCACTCTCTTCCTCTTCCACCCACAGGATATATACATTCTCCTTTTGGAAGGCTCTGCCTGAATTTCAGTATAAAGAGCATGTGAGCAGAATGTGCCTGGAGCGTTGCACACACAGTTATCTGTGACTAGGGTAGATGTGCATTCAGTCCAGACAGCCAGGGTAGCAGACATGGAATTCACTTTTGCCCCAAAAATTTAGAAAAGAGGGGTATGGAGACTCCCAAAATCAGTGGAGTTGGCAGAGAGCTGGGATTTTTAATATTGGTTCCTTCCTCTCGAGATTTGGTTAGTTAGGATATGGTAGGGTGACTGACTGCTGCTGTGAATTAATTTCTGTGAATGACTCTAAAGCCTGTTTAATTGTAGGAGATCAGAGTCTGACTACAGTTGAGAAAGCTTGTGTATTTTCTTTCTCCTTGCACAGAATAAAATATCTCCTACCTGTTTCAGACACTGAGGCTTACTCTGCTTTCTCACACTGCAGGCTGGAAGTGGAACCCACCAGACCGACCTTCCTTTGCTGAGACCCACCAGGCTTTTGAAACCATGTTCCACGACTCGAGCATCTCAGAGGGTGAGAGCCCCTGTTGCTTTATTTCTGCAACAGTAGTGGAAGTTTCCTTCCAGAGTGCTATGCTTATGGATAGGCCCTTAAGGCTCATCTGCTAGCAGTGGAGGTTGTGGTGAAGCTTCATCCTTTAGTTGATTTCTTCACCATAAGTAGGTAAATAAGTTCTCTTACATGCTGAACAAATACTGAACAACCTTTAGACATACAGCAGTGCAGGGGACAGTATAGTTTCATTTTAACACTAAAATGCTGAAGAGTTTATTTAAAAAATACTGTATCCTTTATTAGAGGAAGCTTCTTGTTTCCCAAACTGAAGGACTGGGAATAGTGAGTTATGTTGAGAGAGAGAGATATATGCCTGTCACAGTCCTTTGCTGACTGTAGCAATTAGGTCATGAAATACTCTTCTACTAGCCTTAATTTTTTAAGTTTGCCTTAATCCCTGGATTTTCTACGTAGCTACTTATAGGAGCGAATCTGTACAATTCAACTCTCCAATATAATCCATAGGAGTTAGTTAAATACTGGTGAGACGTCATACTGGGCAGCAAACAAGCAGAAGTGTCTGAGCATCTTCTAAATTTTTAAATTAAATACGAAGCTGATCTATCCACTTCCCTACCACAGAAAAAACACACCAGATCGAATTCTACCAGGGTGAATCTATATCAGGCCCATCAAGTGGCCACAAATACCAACTTTGGTATGGCCAGGAGGTTGTGGGGGATTTTTTTGGTGTTTTTTTCAATCACATACCTTGTGTTGATGCTGGGAAGCAAATGTGCAGTCTTCATTTCTAATGGGGAGGTGGAGGGCTTTTCTTAAAGCAGAGCAGCTTAGATCCAGATCCACAGAGGACACATCTTTTGGGGGATCCCAGGAGCATCAACATGAAGCACCTTAATTGAAAACAGAGGCAGTGCTGACTTTAGCTGTTGAGCAACCCTTAACCCAGCAAAAAAGTAGATTCATACTAGGCCTTTTGCACAGATCCTACCATTGTTTTGTTTTCCTGAATTCATAAAGATGTTACTGAGTGTGAAAATATTGTGAAAAACAAACATCTTACCCTGCATACCTCTAGACTTGAGCAAAAACTAAATCCATGAACTAGGTATTTCTCAGTCATTTATATCTTCTTGCCAGCCTGGGTTTGCAGTAAAGACACAGATTATTTTTTTTTTGCTCTTCCTCTGCAGTCTCTGTTTCAACTATTCCCTTATTGTTTGGTTTGGTTTTTGTTTTTCCTTTCAGAGGTAGCAGAGGAGCTTGGAAGAACAGCCTCCTCCTCATCCATAGTTCCTTACTTGCCCCGGTTGCCCATGCTTCCCTCCAAGACTAGAACACTGAAGAAACAGGCAGAGAACAAGGAGAACATTGAGGGAACACAGGATACTGTGGAGCACTCAGCTTCCAGTTCAGCACCAGGTATGGGCACTGGGACAGTGCCAGTGAGGCCATGCGTTCTGGGATAAACTTGCTGTTGGTATCGGTGCCAGAGAAACAGAAGAAAACAACAGAAAAAAGCCCAACACAATAGGGCAAGGAGCTTTGTACTGCTATGTCATCAGGGCTGTCAACCGTCTCGTCAGCCCAGTTATTCACTAGCAAATGGAAAACACTACAGCTTGTTCAATGTTCTTTTAGTAAATCCCACTGTATTTCTTTAGAATTTAGTTTTGCTGCTTCTTTTTAAATGACAGCTTCAAAACTAAGGTTGACAATGCAGCAACAGATTTTGTTTTATACTTGCAATATTTGGGGAAGGAGAAGAAACAACAGGAAGGGAATAAGAAACTGGGAGAAAAGAGCAACTCCGTCTTTTCCTGACCTTTCTCCTAAGTGGCTTTCTCAGTTTAGACAGGAGACAATGCATGCATGCAGAAGTGGGATAAAAGTAAAAAAAATCACACCACCCTTGCACAAAAATAAAAATGTTAATTTCCTCTCAACCTGTCTCTAAGCAGAACCTGCAGAATCTGGGCAGTTGAATATGCCAGGCCCATAAAGCACACTGCAGGATAGGGAGGTGAAAATGGGAATTGATTTTGCAGATTCACGCTTGTTTCTTCTGTCTAGGTTTTATCAGAAGCACACAGCCAACAAGTGGGTCTCCTGCACTGCCTCGCAAGCAGAGGGACAAGTCACCCAGCAGCCTATTGGAGGATGCCAAAGAGACCACTTTCACCAGGGACAGAAAAGGTGGCTTCTTCAGCTCCTTTATGAAGAAGAGGAATGCTCCCACACCTCCCAAACGCAGCAGTTCCTTCCGGGAGATGGAGAATCAGCCACATAAGAAATATGAGCTGACTGGTAACTTTTCATCTGTTGCTTCCTTGCAGCATGTGGATGGGTTCTCTTTTGCTCCCACGCAGCAGGACGCAAGCCTAGCACCACCTAAGTGCTACGGTGGGGGCTTTGTGCAGAGGACCTTCTACAACGACGATGGCACTGGTACCAGCAGTGGTGGGGGCGTAAGCACTGGTGGTGGGTGGTCGGGCATCACTGGTTTCTTTACACCACGCTTGATTAAAAAGACACTGGGTTTACGAGCAGGAAAACCCACTGGCAATGAAGAACCTTCAAAACCTTTTCCAAGGTCAAACTCTACATCTTCCATGTCCTCAGGGCTTCCAGAGCAGGATAGGATGGCAATGACCCTTCCCAGAAATTCCCAGAGATCAAAACTCCAGCTGGAACGGACAGTGTCCACCTCCTCTCAGCCTGATGAGAGCATGGGGAGGGGCAATGACCTGCTTCCCAAAAGGTTTGAAGAAGGCCCTGCTTTGACCAGAGAGAGACCAAAAGCAAAACTGTTGCCGAGGGGTGCCACAGCACTCCCTTTCCGAAACCCTTCTGCATTGGAAGACAAGGAGGGTCCAGGGCTAGCAGCAGCTCCTAAGGGCAAGGAAAAAAACAGTGGCCCACGGCAAGGGGCCCTTGAGGATAGCGAGAAACCAGGGTGGTCATCTCCAGTAAAGGCTGCAGCAATACTTCCAACCACTCATAACCACAAAGTGCCAGTCCTAATCTCACCCACTCTAAAACACACTCCAGCAGATGTGCAGCTCATTGGCACAGACTCTCAGGGTAATAAATTTAAGCTCTTATCTGAGCATCAGGTCACTTCTTCTGGCGACAGGGACCGTCCCAGACGGGTAAAACCAAAGTGTGCTCCACCTCCACCACCAGTGATGAGGCTCCTACAACAGCCAGCTGCCTGCTCAGATGCAGCAGAAGAGCTGAGCAATGTGGCGGGAGCGCAGCACGGACTGGAATCAAGTGAAGGGAGTAAGAAGGCAGCAGCAGCAGCACCTATTGGTGGAAAATCTGGGAGGCCTGTGGTGCCTCCGCCTCAAGTGCCTCTGTCATCGTCTTCCACCTCCCCAGTGAAACTGGCCAATGGCACGGCTGGCGCAAAAGTAGCGCTGAGAAAGACCAAACAGGCAGCTGAGAAAATCTCCGCAGACAAAATCAGCAAGGAAGCACTGCTGGAGTGCGCGGATCTTCTCTCGAGTGCCATCGCTGAGCCAACGCCAAACAGCCAGCTGGTGGACACAGGGCACCAGCTGTTGGATTACTGCTCAGGCTACGTGGACTGCATCCCGCATACGCGCAACAAATTCGCCTTCCGGGAAGCCGTGAGCAAACTGGAACTCAGCCTGCAGGAGCTGCAGGTTTCTTCAGCAGCTGCTAGCGTCCCTGGGGCAAACCCCGTCCTTAATAACTTATTGTCATGTGTCCAAGAAATCAGCGATGTGGTGCAAAGGTAGCTACTGTCAATCTGGGTAAGAAAAATACACATGGGGAGGGGGGGACTTTTTTTCTGTACTGATGCTTTCAAAAGGAAAGACTGATACTTGAGTATGTGAAGTACCTCAGATCACTGAGTTCTCCTCACGTTTACAGGTTCATCTCAAAGAATGGGGATGGAGAGGGTAGATTAAAGCTGTAAGGGGCAAAACATCATGCGTTTGTCCCTACCTAGTCAGGCTGATCTGCTTGGTATGGCAAGGGAAGGAAGCTCCTTGCTTCTCTCTTGGAGAGGCAGGAGTGTCGATGGCAGGTTCTAGCTCTGGAAAGGACGCATTGATGTGCGATAGCTGGAGTACTGGAGTGGCTGCAGACCACTTGGATGTACAGATCCTCCCCTATCTGTGCCAAAGTGTGCTTTGGTCTCCTGACACGGCAAAGTAAAGGCACTGGGGCTCTGTTGGTACCAAGTGCCAAGCAGTCTGAGCTGGAGTAGCCGTCAAGAGGGAAGTTATGTGCAGTTGGGAGAAAGGTCTAATGCACTGACAGTATTCAGAGCTGCTGGAGGTGGATGCACTAGCCCAGATGGCTTACTTCCACAGCACTGTTGCTGCTGTAATGAGAACTGCAAAATTAGTTAATATATTAAACTATCCCTTTTCCTTCCTGTCCACCTCATCCACTACATGTTCTCATCGGCGTTGTATCAGAAGCATCAGGGATACTGGGCAGACTTACCACTGGAATAACCCCTTCCCCACAACACAGCCTTGACTCAGTTGATACTTACTTCTAGTGGTCTCGCACCAGTGCTGCTTGATGGTCATTTGTGAGTAGTTTGGGGGTCTTGCACAACTTGCCAGTTATTGGGGTGGGTGGTTTTTGTTTGGTTTGTTTTTTTTTAAGCTCTAGGTTGTTTCTATCTTGTTACCAGGTTGACTCCCCCGTTCAGTTTCATCACCTTGAGGACCCATAGTAGGTAAGGCAGAGCTTCTGCCACCCCTAGCTGTTCTCCACATTCCTTTAGTGGTCACAGTGCTGCGGAGCCAGCTGGAGAGCCAGGAAGTACAGCCTGGCCTGCCCATTACACACCTTCACTCTGCTCCAGGGTTCTCTGGATCTGTCCCTTATCTTGGCCTAATGCTTCATACTGAGGGCTTCCTGAGATTTGTTGTAGTGCTTCCTGGTCTTGCAGGCTTCCAGCTTCCTGGCATATGAAGGTGACTGTGTATGGCAGTGCAGAGGAGAATCACAGCCATCTTTTTTATTTCTCCTGTACTTTAAAGGCTAGATCAGAATCTTATGCTGTGGCAAAGGAAACACGCACATAAACTGCACACTCTCCTGCTTGAGATGCAACAACAAGCGTTATGGCTTTGCCTTGGCGTGCTCCCACTGGGTTATGGTTTCTGATGTCTGATGCCTACTAGCAATGAATGCAGTTGTGTGGTTGAAGTTGGCTTCCTTGGTCCTAGTGCTAGTTGTAGACTGTTGTGGCATCAAAAAGCTGGTCTTCTGCCTATACGCACGACTCCCTGAGATGTAAATGTACTGGCAGGTAAGAAGACCTCAACTAATTTGATTTGTGAGAAATGGAAAACAGGCCTGATAAGCTGGCTCCAAATACACATTACCCTGCATGCTGCTGCTCACTTCACACTATCGGTGATGATAGAGGATCTCGCTTGCTTTGCACCTTAAATCTTTTCTTTTTTGCTAAAATGCTTTTTTAACTTGTTTTTAAAGTGTGACTGTGCTGCTTGTAGTTTGAGCATTTAGAGTTGAGCTGGGGCACAGGTGTGAATTTACAAGATGGGCACTTCCATTTCTGTCTAGGATCATTGCCCTGTTGGTGCTTGAAAGTAGGCTGGGCTGCCTCGGTGAGCGTCCCTGTTTTTTCCATGGAGCATAGCAAGACAGAGGCCTGAACAGTCTTTAGAAATGATGTCTGAGAATCCTCATTTTATCACTGGTCTGTGGTAAAAGAAGTTGTGTCACAAGACATGAATGCACCTCGGTGAACCAGTGTGTGGGGCAAAAAAGACCACGTGAGCTTTCACTCAAGTGAAATGGTGAGGAGAGAAGGAAAAGACAACTCCTCCACCCCAGCTGATGTTAAGGCATTAAGTAACTGAACATCTCAGTTTTACTCCAGTGAGCTGGTACCTAAGTGGAGACGAATCCAAGTACAGCGTGGGTTACTCATCCTGACACAGTCAGTACCAAGCCTACCCAACAAAACCTTCTGTCTAGTTCTGCAGTGGGACCTTTAGTAGGTTGGGGAGGGCTGCACCAAGGCCTTTCATAGCAATGCTCACCTGTAAGGCAGAGTACCAAACCATTATCATGTAGACTTTACTGAGGGCTTTTGTGGTTTACCTTATCTCTTTCAGTCATCTTTACTGAAGGTGTGCATTGCTGCACACCAAACTAACTGTCTTTGGAAAGGTGACCTGCAAAGGGAAGGCAGCTTGTGATATTGCTTCGCATGGCCTTTCAAACAATCAAGAGGATTTAACAGGTATGGGAGCTTTCTTCGGGGCAGAAGGGCAAGTCTTGTTTGCCCTGGCAGACAATCGCGTGGTTTCATCATTGTACTACTACTCAGCCTAGGACGAACAGATTGAAACTGAAGTGATTCTCAGGGGAAAGGTATTTTAACCAGAACATTTTAAGGCTGTTAGTCCAGTTCTGATTAGTATTTTGAATGAAACTTTTGGGTTTTTTTCCCTGAATGACAGTCTTCCTCCAGCAAAAATGACAGGATAGGAAACAATTCCTGGAATGTCTAGCTTCTACAACCACCCTCTGTCAGCCCTTTCTGAAGAAACTAACTGTGCCCCAAGGAAGGACTGTTCCCCTCCACTGGTCATCCCCACTTCCTTTCAGATGGCACCCGGTTTCTTCTCCCCCACAGCAGAGGTGATGGGCAGTGGCACTGGGCAGTAACACAGCTAAAGCAGCCTCTTTTACAGTCACAGAGCAGCTGAGGCTGTAAGGGACCCCTGCCCAGGCCCCTGCTCCAGCAGGAGCCACCTGCCCAGGACCACATCCTGACAGCTTTTGAGTATCTCCAAGGATGGAGACTCCACAACCTCTGTGTGTCACAGAGCCCATTCAGTTCTGATCCCTCCTGTGGTGGAAAAACCCCGCTGTTCTTACCTGTTGTCTTACATCAGGTGGCTAGATGGTGGCAGAGCTAGTGCTTCCTTGACACTAGAGTTATTTCCCCTAAATAGGAGGCTGTAGAATTGCTGCTGTTTCTGTTGCCTACCAGTGTTTTATTCCCAAACTGGAATTTCCCCCCTGCCCTCTGGCAGGATAGCAGCAGGATGGTATCTGGAAAGCTGGTTCTGCTGTAAATTATTGTTCAGTTTTTCTTCCTTCCACAGCCACTCACCTAAAATTGTTAAAGTTCCATCTCCTTTTTGCTAGGTTTGGCTTTTGGCCTTAAAGGTCTCTACAGTGGCAGCTTCTCTGCTGGTTTCAGCCTTGTACAGTACGTTCAAAGTAACGTAGGTATGGTGAAGCTCCGGTATTTGTGCCAGTGTAGAGCAGTTCTTGCTCTACTGGTCAGGGTAGGGGACATGGCATAAACTCCTGCTGTTTCCTTTCCTCACCACTGTCAGAAGGCCTTGTGGGGTAAGGATGTTATTGCACCAGGGCTCTCTCTCACTTGCACTAGAACAGGCTAGAGTTTTAAGTAGTCTTCTCTGCAACAGGGGATGGCAGCATGTAGGGCCTGGTAAACGCCAAGCACAAAGCATGCGCTCACATGAGTGAGTTGACGTGGGGCACTTTCTCTTTGTAGCTACTGTGGGGAATTGGCCAACTCACAGGTGCAATTCTCCTTTCTTCCTGCACTGTACACCCTTTTTAACCCCAGAAGCGGTGCACTTGGCTGTCTGACTGACAGCAACACTTCAGTATAATCATTGTCTTTAGTGTGGACAGAGGTGAAGCTGAATTAAGAGTCTGGGTCTTGGGACTGCATCAAATTTAGCCACTGGGAAAAGAGAATTGAATGGAGCATTGCTGCTGATGCAGAACACAGTGGGAGAGAGGAAGGCTGCCTGTTCCTGTCCTCCTCATACTGGACATCTCTCCTGAGCACCACTGGCCTTGTCAGTGAGACAGTCATACGTGTGTTGACATCCCATCAGGTGTGCTTATGCAAGAGTTTTATGGCACACTGCTCTCTGTGGGCAGCGGGAACTAAACCCCACAGCATGGTACAGCAGCTGCACCAGAACTGCTGCAGTAACAGAGCAGCCCTCCTTGAAAGGCAGTGGGCACAAGAGCAGGCAGGATGGGCTATGCTGTGCAGTCATAGCATAGGGAAATCTAGACCTTGAAGCCTGTTCCATTTATCTAAGGCTTTCCCCGCAACTGAGGCACTCTGCATAGTGCCTGTGGGTGCTCTTGGGCACCAGCAGCTGTGACAAGCACTAATGAATCCAGAAGACTGTTTCTGCAAACAGAACAGGCTGCTATGTTCTCTTGTAAAACACTGAGCCCTACTCCTAATCAGTGGCTGGCAGGAGAACCCAAGGGTCTTGACTACAGCATGCTTGGAAGCCTGCTGCTTCAACACGAGTGGCACCATCTGGCTCAGGTAGGCACTGGGGTTGTGCTCTCTCTCCTTGCCTGTAGTGTAGAACAAACCTTCAGCCTGTTCCCTGGTGGCAGAAAGTAAGAGGTTATGGGACACCTGACTTACTGACAATATCTACACATGATAAGAAATGTCTGTACCAAAGGAGGTCATTCTTCAACTGTGTCTGTTGTGCATGGGAGGTAGAGCCCAGCGGGCTCCCCACACTGTTTGCATCAGTAGTGAACTCATTGAGGGCAGGAATGGGTTAAAATGAAACACATTGATCACCGATCACTACAGTGTTGTCAACTGTTTTTTGTTTTTATTGTTATTGTAATATATTTTGGTTGTTTTTCTAATTTAATTCTCTCACTATCGTCTGACTGTGAACTGCGAACAGTGTTAAACTTGATGTAAATAAGGCTCTTTGAAGGGCCTCTTTGCCTGTTGTTCCACGAAGTTTTGCCAATTTGCATTTTGTTTTAAATAAAGGTTGCAATATTTTATTGGCAAAAAAACATGTTTTTCCTAAGGAATATTTGAAGCTGCTCAGTACTAACCTGAAGTTTGTTGGTTTGGGTAGAAAAGATAGTTTAATTCTACGAGATCACAGAGAAAAGCAGTAGCTTTATTTATGCCTGTAAAATCAAGCTTAGTGTTGCCATGGAGTGGTCAGAGGAGAGTGGTCTCACTGCTGGGTACATAATTGCTTACCTCTGAAACATCCCTGCGTGACCTTGCAGAGTGCAGGGCCTTGTGTGGTCAAGTGTGAGAGTTGCCCCCATTAGCAATACCACCAGTAATGGAGTAAGAACTGCTCAACATGCCAGCTTCATGCCAGCCCTGCCCTGGTGGAACAGCTGCCCGAGAGATTTCCCCTCCAAGCAGCACCAGCCTAACCTGAACAGCGGAAGATTCTTTTCTATTAAATTAAAAAACAAAATAATCCTAGGCGACCCTAGCTTATACAGCCTTCCAAGCAACTAACTCACCTAACAACTTCCTCAACTTTTGGCCCGTTATAAAACACAAACTGAGTTGTGTCCTTCTGTGGGGCTGTGTCCTCCCTTCCCCACTGCCTCTGCCTCTGATGTTTCCAGGCTGAAGCTTTAGGCTTGACACTTGTGATTAAGAGATTGACCATAAATCAGGTCTCAGAAAAGCCTGGTAACAGTGCATGCTGGCACGGGCCCTAAGGTCCAGTCCAGAGACAACAGGTAAGTTTAACTTACAGGTGGCTCATCTTACTGCCTTGGACTATGAAGCCTCATTAGGTAACAGAGCCAGCGTGCCCAGAGGTACACACGAACTCAAAGTCTGCAGGACTAGTAAGTGTGTCTGGTCAATCTTTTCCCAGAGGTCGTGCTGCTCATCACTGGCACTGCAGGAAAGTTCAAAGCTTAAAACAGACCAAAGGTCTGCACGCGGGGTGTCCAGGGCGCTAAGCCCTGTCCTTGGCGTGTGCCGTTTCACCTCATCACCCAGCACAGCTCTGTTGGAAGGGAATTTGGACCTAGAGGTCACAGTGATTCTCATAAGACTGTTGAAATTTTTTGGTCCTGCTGCAACATACTTATCACCTGGCAAGTACCCAGACAGCAAACAGGCCCTTAGTGCAGTAATGCTGATACCAGCCAAAAAAACACAGATGCAACATACTGAAAGACCCACAAGCTTGCTGCATCCCTCAAAACCCAAATTCAGCTGCAGCCCATTCCTTCAGCCACCATCCTCATCAACCGCCCTTTGCCCTTGAAAAGGGAATTAGTCTCCCCTTTTGCATTTTGCAGGGAGGCAAAAAAGTCTCTTCACCAAATTGCTTAGAAAAAGAACTTCATCAGAATGTTACCTCATCCCCATGGCTGCTTCCATACAACAGAAGACTCCAGTGAGAGGGGGACACTCCAAAGGGAGAGATCTGACATCTCCAGAGATAACTGTCATTTTCTCAATGCAAGGGCCTCCCTGAACAAACCATGAGCAGCAGAAACCTTTTGACTGCAGGAGAGCAACAGAGAAAAATACTCAAGCAAAACAGTTCCGTGCAATCTTGTAAAGTGAGAGAGAAAACTGGAGACAGGGTGAGGACGTGGCTTCTGCTGCACAGTCCCAACAGGACCAGTCTTTCCAAGATCTGCCTTCATCACGTAGTAACAAACCAAGTACTTGGACATCCCCACTCCCATTAAGCATAGCATCTGTCAACACAACCACATCACTGCTTCAGGCTACAGCCTGCTAAAAGAAGGGACTTAAACACTGGACAGACTTGAGATGCAGCCAAGTGCAGGCTGTCCTGGTGCCCCAGGAGTAAGGCTGGGCAGGGGGCGCTTCCTTCCCTGCAAACAGCCCTCTGAGTAACGGAGTTAAGCGCGTGTCCCCGTGCGAGGGCATGGCTGGGTAACCTGCCTGCCTGACCTTGTGCAAGAGAGCAGCTCTAGAGTGCAGAACCACCTTCGCCACTGGTGTAGTCCCACCTGGGGTTCAGGGAAGGAAGTAATTGATGCGCTGGGATACAGATTTGCAGCCCTGTGCAGAGAAAAGCTTCTCCTCTTTGGGCACGAACACCATCATCCTGGCCACCTCATCGAGGGCTGCCTCTGTGTATGGAAGTCCCCTGGCCAGGAAAGCATCCCGCGCGCAGAGCTTCACGTGGTGGTACTCCAGGGGCAGGAATGGCACGAAGAAATCAATGAGGTTCTCTTTGAGGAGGTGGCTGTGGGCATAACCATTCTCTGTAGCAAAACAAGAGAAACAAACTTCAGAAGCTTCACCTGGGAGCTGTCGTCTCTCTGCAGGGTCAGGCTTGTCTCTTTGCAGGGGCCTGTCCGGGCTCATCCATATGTTTTGGGAGACGAGACACCCACTCGTAAAGAGCTGTTCAGCACTTGGTCTGAACAGAGAAAGACATTACGGCTTGCCCATCTCAGGCCAAAAGAAGCCTGAATCCCTAGAGAAACCTTGGTATTCCTGTACAGTGTTAGGCTGCCATTCACAACACAACCATTTTCAGGGCTGAAGTAGGTAAGAAGCACACACAGCTCTTTCCCCATGTGCCTCATGGGTGGGGCTGTGGTCATGTGGATGAGGGAAGGGGCTCATACAGCAAATAAACCTGGGGTGGGGTGCTGGAAATAATGCACGCACACTTGTGCAGTGCAAGGGGATGGGACTGTGTAAGCAAGGCCCCAAGGCAGTGCAGAGGGGCAGGTTTGCAGGCAGCCTACCCACAGCATCCCACAGGCGAGCCCGGCTCTTACCTGCAGGCTCCTGCAGCTCCAGCCGCAGCCGCTGCTCCAGGAGCTCCATGGAGATCTCCTCCCGTGCCCGGCCAGCTCGCCAGAAGTCCAGGGCTACCTCATTGATGGTGTTGCCGCCGAGATTGCTGTGGACACAGGAGGGAAGTCATTCAACCATGCCCCCCCCCCAAGATGAACTGCTGAGAGCTGCCAACAGCCTCACCTGCAGACAGGCCTCAGCAGTTCTCTCAGCAATGAAGGCTTTGCTGTGTAGGATCAGCATCTGAAATACTAGCACATGGAGGAGCCAAGTTTCTTCCCAAATTGCCCCTTTCTATAGGCATCTGTACAGCTATCTTCCATCCTGCCAGCTCACAGCCTGGGGCAACTGCTTTCTCTCCCAGGGTGGGACCAGAAGCCAGTAGAATCCTCCATCTCTGTCAGTCCTGTCCTGGCTGTGATGCCATTGACCTCGCAGATAACACTTGGCTGCACACCAAGCCCTCAACAAGCCACCATTGAAAGCCCAAGTTAGAAGGCAGAGCACGTGGTGGGAGCCTCACTGGAAGGGAAAGTCCAGGGCAGGGATTCAAATGACAACCCAGGACTTGGCAAAGCACCCCTTGCGTGAGGGACAAAGCAGTTCCCATGTGAGGACTACTTTGCACATGCACTGGTGGCAGCTCCATGGTGGGGAGTGAGGTCCTGACACCCACTGAGGTTCCCAGAGCAGTCCCTCACCCCTGGAAAGCAGAGCAGGGGCAGGCAGCTCCCCGAGTGCTGGTGAGAGGTTTGCAACAGCTCAGACAACAGCCCCAGCATGCCACCACCAGTAAGCTGGCAATACTGGAACCAGCTGACTGCAGAACTGGTATAGGTGGGAGGCAGATAGGCACTGGGACAGATCCTGCACCAGTCTTTTCTCTCATGTCAGAAGCTCTGGACCCACTCCCCAAATGGAGGGGAGGCAACATTAAAAATCCACCACTGTTTCCCACCCCTCTGCTGCCTTGTTAGGGGGGGAAGACAGCTTATACTGATGCTACTCCCACATCCCATGAGAGAAGCACAGCCTCTTTTGACTTAGGACAGGCAGCCAATCCTCCCTTATCCCCCAAACCTGGCCAAAGCTGCAGGACCAGGCCAGTGTCCAAAGGAGCTCTGGGGCAGAGCCAACCCTCCTACAAGAGGTCTGTGTCACACTGCCACCGGGTGTGATGAAACCTCCCCAGGATCACACACTGCTGCTTGCTGTGCACAGCACCCTGCTCCGCTCCGCTTGGTGGCACAAGGGGGCTGATGTGAACCCCTGGCCTGCATGGCTTGCCAAGTAGGACACAAGGTCAGCTGAGCACAGCCAGCACCACATCCACACTGCCCTGAGCAACAATCTGCCCCCTGCACCATGGCTCCTGCTGGGCGGCCCACACAGGAAGGCCTGAAATACAGAACAGTCAGTTCTACAAGCACTGGGCACATATACAGGTCCTCCCTGGGCAGAGAAACTTCCTGGGAACCACCAAAGCTGGAGATAAGAACATTTGCTTGGATAGTGGGAGATGGAAAGCAAATGCTCTGTCCACCTCTAGCCTGGGGGAATGTCTCTTGCCAAGGCCAAGCTAAAGGCTGGCTGTAACTCCTCAACTGAAGGGGGCCCAAGATACTTGTCTCTCCTGGCATTTCCCGCTGCCTAATTCAGGCACATGCCCTCCTCACATCCCAGTTTTGAGATGTCCCACTTCTCCCTCGTGAAGCATCCCACCTAGGCTTGGGGCAGGGACAGCACTGGGCTGCGCACATGCCAAAGTCCTGTCTCCCTCTGGATGGGTAAGGGACCAACTAAACCACAGGATGAACTGATGCCACATCAGTCCTCACAGCACAGCAGACCGATGGCACAGCCTGTGGCCTGCAGCCACAGCCACACAGTGGGAACTCCCAACTAACAGGGCCACATTGCACAAGAACTTCCCATCAAGATCTGCTTTGCTCCCTGAGTATGTGATCTCCCTGCTGAGCTGTGCAGGGTGACACCGTGCTAGCTCTGACTCTCACTGGTTCCTTGTCTCAAAGCCTAGACACAGGATTAGGTGTCCCAGCTAAGCCAGACCTTAGCTCCTCCTGCAAATGCCCCTGAAAATACTCAAGGAGGATGCCCAGCATCAGTAAGCAAAATTAACCATGGAGGCAACTGCCTTTTTCTAGACATTTTTTCCCCTCTCCTGCAGCCTGAGCCCCTCATATCAGACACCTCAGGGGATAAACTCCATCCCTTTGATCCTTCCCATCCCTCTGGGGGCCCAAAAATCACCTGAGGAACAGGAAGATGGATCTCCTGTAATCCACCTTGCTCTTGTTGTCATAGTGAGCCATGAAGGGCTTGATGGCATCCAGAAGGCTGAAATGAAGTTTCTCTGCCTCGTCGAAGATGAACAGGGGCTGCTTGCAGCGCTGCACAGTCTCACTGATATGATTCCTCAGCTGAGCCTGCAGAGCAGCAGGGAGGAGCATGAGAAGCCCAGTAGCAGTCAGTGCCACTGGAGCACTATGCAGGGGCTAAGCCGCAATGTCATGGGTTAACCCCGGCTGGCAGCCACTTGCTTATTCCCTCCCATCCAGCCAGCCAGGGCAAAGAATAGGAAGAGCAAAAGAGAAAAAGTGAGTCAAGATAGTTTAGTAAGTGAAGGAAAGAGAAAGAAGAAAGAAAGAAATCAAAGCAAGTGATGCAAAGGCATCCACTCACACCTACCACAAACAGACTGATGCCCAGCCAGTCTTTGGGCACTGGCTTCCTACCCCAAAACCTCCTCTGTTCAGTTTTTATTGCTGAGCACCACAGTAAATAGCATGGAACATCCCTTTGGTCAGTTGGGGTCAGCTGTCTGGCATGACCCCTCCCAACTCCTTGTGCACTCCCAAACAACTGACTGTGGGGTCCAGACTGGGAGGAGAAGGCTTTGAGGCTGTGCAAGCACTGCTCACTGGTGTGTTATCAACACTGTTTCACTCATAAATCCAAAACACAGCTCCATTATGGGCTGCTGTGAAGAAAATTAACTCCATCCTGGCCAGACCCAATACACTGAGCCATCCCACAGCAGCACAGTGTTGTTGGTTCTCACCTTGTATGAATCCACATACATGTGATGGGGGAAGTGCAAGAGCGAGATGAACAGCCTGACACACTCGCTCTTCAGCCCATCCCGGTACAGGTGACTGGCCATCATCCGAGCCACAAAGTTCTTGCCTGTGCCAGACCAACCATGGAAGGAGAGGACCAGAGCCTTCTCTGGCTGTGGGGTCTGTACGAACCCTTGCACTGCCTGGATGACCACTTCCTTGGCCAAGTGCTGCCCATGGAGCTGCCCATTGAGGTCTGCTGCTAGCCCTGCAGGAAAGAGAGAGCAAAAGCTCAGCCTGAAATTGCAGGCCCAGGTGCTGCTGCAAGTGGGAATAAGAGGAGAAAATGTGGCAGGGCATGAGGCGCACCCAGCCCTGCTGGTGGGGCTGCCTGAGAGGAGGCTGAAGTGGTGTTATACCCCCAGGGTCAGTGAGACAGGCTGCCACACCCCTGCCTGCATCAGTCACTGACCACAGAAAGATGCAGATATTCCACTGACTCCTTTTTTCCTTCAGGAAGCAGAGGAGATATTTGACACTTGCAGGGAGCACTTGAATCCAAAGAGCTCCCAGCAGAGGTTATGGATACCAGAAGTCTAAGTACCAGCAAAATGCAATGACACCAGTGCAGGCTTTACATGCAGGTCTCTGGGTACCTTCCTGACCTGGGGTTGGATCCCACTGTGCATGCCTGAGAGCTACCAGATGAAGGCAGGGCTCATGGCAAACTGGAGCAGATAATGCTGTACAGTAAGGAACAAACTCTCTTGCAGTCTCAGAACTACAAATGAATAATGGGAACCAGGATTTAGCTCAACCCCTGCTCAGAAATGCCCTTTACTCACCTCACAGCCCTTGACAAAATACACTGGGGTTTTTTGCTTTTTAAAGAAAACCCACAATCAATCAACAAGAGACGAGGGAGAGGCAGCAGAGACAAGCACTGCTTGGGCTCCCCCACATCCAGCGCAGCACCTACCTGTGATATTGTTGACTACCCTGCAGTCTCCTGTCTGGCAGCACTCGCTGAAGCGGCAGTACCAGGCCGAGAGGATCTCCAGGTAATCCTGTCCCACCAGAGGCAGGCCCCAGCCTGGAAAGGGCAGCGGTCTGAGCAGAGGTGTTCCAGCCAGTGTCTTTTCTGGGTTAGGTGTGGACGCTCAGCTGAGCCCGGCTAAGGGCAGCCCTCCCCCCGGGTGCGGGGGCTTAGACACTGCCCACCAGCAGCACAGCTGGGCACAGGGGAACAAGGGGCAGCAGCTGGCTCGGGTGGGCAGTGAGACACAGCAGGGGAAGGCATGACACGTCTGTGGCAACCCAAGGGCGTGCTCAGGGAGGTGCCAGGGTAGTGAGCGACCGTTGGGAAAGGCAGCGTCCACAGGAGCGGGGGGAAGCAAGGTGATGGACCTTGCTGTTTCTGGGGTATGGGAGAGGGAGAGAAAGGAGGAAGGCGCTTACCTGGGCTGGGACTGGACACTTCCTCCTCCTCTTCACAGCCCTCCGGCCACACTTTGCATGTCAGGTACTGCCAATACTGCTTGGAGAGAGCACCCACAGCTCCCAAATGCTTCTTGATGGCTTCGTACCTTGCCCTGCTCCACGGTTCCCCCTCTGCCATGGGGTCTTGCTCCTCTTCCCACGGCCACCGCGGCGTCCCTCGGCTGCCCAGGCCCCTCGAGCTCCCCAGCAGCAGCAGGCAGCAGGCCAGCCCCAGCAGAGGCGGGAGCCTGCCCTGGCCCATGGCGGTGGGTCGGGGGTCCCCCGCAGACTGCGAACAGCCCTGTCCCGGCTCTGCTGGGTGTCCGCAGGCTCCCTGCCTCCCTTAAACCGCCCGAGCCGTGATCTCACTTCCTGGCCGCCTGCGATTGGAGTCGCTGGAGAAGAGCGGTGGGTGCTGTCGCCGCCGCGCACGCATGGCCTCACGCCTGTCCCGTGGGTGGAGGCTCCACCGGCTCGGCACGGATCCTGCCTGCGCTACCCTGCAGAGCCAGCCCTGCTCCGGAAAGAAGGCGCCAGGCACCCCTCGGGTCTGTATTCCCGTCTGCTTCCCGGGTCCTGCCAGTCCCTGCTGGGAGGGGAGGCGAGGCGAGAGGCTTCTCTTCCAGCCGGGCTGGAGAGGTGCCTAAGGACGCTCCTGACACCACTGCCAGCCTCCACAGAGCTGCACCACCGCAGCCCTCCTCTGGCCTCCGAACCGCGGCACCAGCAAAAAATGCCTGGGGAAGGCAAATAATCTGGGTTTTTCAGGTCAGGGGCTCGGCTGAAGTTTTGCTGCCACAAATGCAAAAGGCACCAGCAGTTGTTGTTCATCAGCATCCTTGCCAAAGGACACGAAAATTACAGCCATAAACAAGGGAGCAGGAGGCAGTGGATGAGCCACACCAGCAACATAGGGAGCTGCACCACTGTGTCTGGGGTTGGTTTGCTGCCTTCTGTGCTGTGAGTTCAGTTTAGTGATTAGATCAAAGCTCCAAGACAAATGGTTTTGTTGCTGGCTCTGGGGCAGGCTTGCTGTGTGACACTGGATGCACGTCCTTCCTCATCAACCCCATCACCATCAACCCAACCTCATCAAAACTGCTGTTTACTTCTACATTGATGCATCTCCATCCACCAGTATATCTAAATACTAAGACGAGGTATGGTGGCCTCCGCTCACACCGCCAGGAAAAGGTATAATTCAGATCAGGACAGAACCACCATGAAATCGCGTATGAGAACTGAAGTACAACTCATCACCACCACTAAGCTCACCATCACCAATCCCTTCCCTCCAGAAAGCTGTAAACCCTCTCCTGGAGAGTGAAGCAGCACACACAGTCATTAGGGCTGGCTGCCTGTGCTTTGGCAGGAGATTCTAGGATCCCAGGCAAAGCCTGGCTTTTGTTAACAGGTATGCACACAAACTCAGCTGGGGGTAGGGGGTTTAACGTGGATAAGCTCCGTACAACTTGGATCTTACCTTAAGCTGTACCCACCACTGGCATACTGTAAGAGACTAACACCTGTACAAGTTACTGAGCATCAGGACAAGTCCACCCACAGCTTAAGCTATCTGAGATGAGGCCAAGATGCTTTGGACACGAGAAAGAATTTCAAGGGTCAGAAAAATAAAAATAAGAAGGATACCAAGTGCACCTGATCCAGCCTGATGATTCTCTTGTTGAGGTGGATGGGGACTGGGATCCAGCACCGCAAAGTCATGAAGTGGAGCATATCACCATCTACAGGTATCTATAAATATTACACATCGACCTTAAAGATACCAGTATTAACATTATTGCCCCCTCCAGCTTCAAAAATAGTGAGGCCAAAACCTTAGCAGCAGTTGCAATAACTTAAACATAACTAAAAACATGCACATTAAAAATATCAATTAAAAATCAAACTCACTATAGCCATAACAAATTATCAGCCTTTCTGCAAACTAGCTAATGCATCTGAACTGAAGCATTTCCTCAGGGAGGAAATCATCCCCATAGGTTGGAAAGGAAGCGGCAGGAGACTGGAAGAGGTCCTAGTGCACTACACTGAAAAGAACTTGCCCATACCCGACTTGGGAAGGATGGGATAGGAGGCACAGAAGGTACTGCCCTAGGAGAGTTTGTTGGGATTCTCTCTTTCCCCCTGCCCCCCTTTATTTTTTCTTCCTGTGCTGTAACATTCACTAGAGTATTTGCTAACCTTCAGCTAACAGTCTTGCAGGAGGAGGTACTGCAGGGCTCTGCATGGCCCCACTGATGATCACAGAATCATAGAATGGCTTGGGTTAGAAGGGACCTTAATGATACCTGGATGCAGAGCTTTTCACCTCGTAGCTGGTTGTTCCAAAGGAGTCCTGGTGAGCAGAAATCACCTCATTAAGAATCCACGATCTTAGGTCAAGTCAGGCCTTACAGCGCAGGGGTCCTCTCAAAACAGACTAAAACCAGCACCATAAAAATGTGATTATGCCTGCCTTATTTAGCACCCCTAATGCAACTCAGGACAAGCAAATACTCAGAAGGAACTGCGCAATCCAGGATTTTATACTACAGGCTGTATACCCTGGATGGGGAAATGCCATGCTTCCATCCTTTTAGGGTTTTTTAACTTTTCATACAGCAATTCCTTCTGCACATCCACAGATGAACTCTGAAAGAAGGCAGAAAGAAAAGTCTCTCTGTAGAGTGCAGTATTACACAGCTATGAATTAGATCGCTAAAAATAAGATCTGGAATAAAGGGTATAAAGGGGAATCCTTTGCCCTCCTACCTTTAGTTCTCCCCTTGAAGACCTGTCCCCAGCCTCTTAAAAATATTGAGACTCCACAAGATAAAAACAGAGCACCAGTCCCACACCAGGGATGTATTAACCAAGATCTTATTTTACTTTCTAATATTTAGAAACAATAAGAATTTGGAGGGGATTTGAAAGAAATTCTGGGAAAGTGCAGATTTTCAAGCCCCTTTGATTCTCCCATTGGCTCAAAGTTGTTTCTGTTCATTCTTCTGTAAAACTATTTTCATTACGTAATCAGAAACACATTACAATCTTCCAGTTACATGAATTCTCACCCTGTTACTAAGGCCAAGCACTCCAAAATTACATATCATCATGGCTTGACTTCGCGAACGAAGATTTGGGAAGGGCTTTACCCACGCTTACTACAGGCACGCTGATGACTAAGAAGGCCAATGTGGGATAGGCAAATCCGGCTACAAAAAGCACAGCAAAAGGTCTCCTTGGGTGGAACAGGTGGGGCGCGATTCTTCCTGCGTTGTCTTTTCTCCTCGAGACTAGTTCTTCGTGAGCACTCAAAGGAGTCAGTGGCATTATGTATGGTGTGCCTCCAAGTCTCCCGATTGGAGGCCAAGGTGGACCACTGATGGTAGTCAATATGGCCAAGGCTAAGGTATTGTTTCAGGGAGTCCTTGTATCTCTTCTTTGGGGCACCTCTCTTGCGGCTACCGGTGGCAAGTTCACCATAAAACACGATCTTGGGGAGGCGGTGATCCTTCATTCTAGAGACGTGCCCTGCCCAGCGCAGCTGCAATTTCAGCAATATGGCCTCGATGCTGGTGACCCCTGCCTGTTCGAGGACAGTGACATTAGACACATAGTCAGTCCAATGGATGTTTAGAATTGTACGGAGGCAGCGCTGATGAAAGCGTTCCAGGAGTCGCAGGTGATGACGGTAGATGACCCATGATTCAGACCCATATAAAAGAGTAGACAATACAATGGCTCTGTAGACACTGATCTTTGTACTTTTCTTCAGGTGTTTATTACACCAGACTCTTTTATGGAGTTTTCCAAAGGCTCTATATGCCTTTGCTATTCTGTTGTCTATCTCTTTGTCGATCGTGGCATCCGAGGAAATGATGCTTCCCAGATAGCTGAACTGCTGAACTGTCTTAAGCTCTGACTCGCCGATGGTAATATGGGGATGGCGATGATCTTCTTGGGGTGCAGGTTGGTAGAGGACTACTGTCTTATTCAAGCTGACTTCCAGCCCAAAAACCTCAGCCGCCTCCGCAAAGCAAGATGTTAAACGCTGCAGAGCTGCTTCTGTGTGGGCAACAAGGGCGGCATCATCAGCAAAGAGCAGTTCACGGACAAGATGGTTTAGGGTCTTAGTGTGGGCCTTCAGTCGCCTTAGATTGAATAGGCTACCATCGGTACGATATCGAATATAAATGCCATTTTGTTCGTCGAGGTCTGCTGTAGCCCTTTGGAGCATCATGCTGAAGAAGATTGTGAATAAGGTCGGTGCGAGAACGCAGCCTTGGTTCACACCATTGGTTATCAGGAAAGGCTCGGAGAGTGCATCGCCATACCTGACTTGGCCTTGCTGGTCCTCATGTAACAGAATAATCATTTTGAGGAACTTGGGGGGACAACCTAATCGTTCCAAGATCAGCCACAGGCCTTTTCTGCTCACAGTGTCAAAAGCTTTGGTGAGGTCAACGGAAGTTACATATAGCCCCATGTTCTGTTCTCCGCACTTTTCTTGCAGTAGTACAACAAAGCGCTTGTAAGAACAGCTCTCCAAACTGGCTATTTCAGCCTTTCAAAACTCAAAAGCATCTGTAATTCTGCAAGTTGTTGAACTGCTAATACACAGGCAAGAATCCTGTCCTGCTCCTGAGCAGACTGGCACCTCAAAAATAGAGATGGAGGATACGAAAAATTACTGTCACCACACAATGCTAGGAGACAAAAAAAAACAACCCCAGAGCATCCACCCCCTGAAATCCCCCAAACAAAACCTCCAAACAGTTCTTAGAATCTCAGCAATGCTGAAGTTGAAAGCTTCAGCTGAGAAAGCCTAGTTTAAAAACCAGCAGGTGCCTTTGCTTGTTTCACAACATGACGCTGATGCTACAGGCCAGGTCGAAGACTGTCCCTGCCTTTCCAGGAGTGGCGCAGTGCTTTGGGGGCTTTGAGGTGTCCTGTCCCCAAGAGCTGCACGGGGACTGGCAGCAGCTCACACAGCCCTCAGAAGTACAGAGCAGCTCTCAGTGGCTTCTTTGCCTTCCAGGTGTTTGACATTTAGAACTGTGAGCATCACCTCTTATCTCTGAAAAACTCACTGCAGGGGGCTGTTATGAAAACAAGCTCCAATACAGCCAGGTTAAACCCCAGCACTCTGTGGGAACAGATTTTGATGCCTGTTACTTGCCCCATCTTACAAAAAGCTTAGAAAAGCTACCCATGAACACCTGACAACTCTACATACATCTCTTGCTCCACAAAAGCAAGCCAGTCTACTGGGACATGACCAAAAGATCAGCCTAGGTGCCTGGCAGATGCCAGGCCCCAGGATGCA